ATCTATATGAGTGAGGTGTAGGAATAGTGAATCAAACTAGGTTCGTTTTCTCCTCACGTCATCGCGATGGGGGCGGGGGGCGAACGAAAATAGTTGGTTGGAGGGCATACAGCTACCCAGTCCGACCGTGACAATTTTAATTCGGGGATAAATGCGGAATTATGATCATAAATGGTTGCAAACCAGCCATACAATAAGTCGTTAACTGGTTTCCTGTCCAACAGAGGACTAAAGTCAACGAACAAGGAGGATTGATCAATGGTGCATGTACGTACATTGAGAGGGTACTTTTTTCGGAACAAAAGGCACATAGCCACACCAATCACTATACCCTAGCTGGGAATCTCACCGGATTCGATTGTTATCAACCATTTCTAGTTTCTTTTGTTTTTGCAAACACCACCTACCCATCCAGTACGCCTCTAATAAAGCCGCAGATATAACTTCTCTTTCATAATATTCCAACAACACGGTATTTTAATATATCAATTATTCATTTCATTTTATTAGATATAAAATATATTAATATTATATGTATTGCCTTTCATTGTGTAAATAAATTTAATTTTCATAAATCTATACAATCTGCAGTATATAAGCAAGCTACTCTGTTTGAGATGATATCTTTAATTCAATAGGCCTAAAGTTATAGATTTATTAATAATAATAATAATAATAATATTTATTTCATACACAAAGGTATACATACAGAAGTACAGATGCGATAATAATGGTAGTAATACTAATAATAATGGTAGTAATACTAATAATAATGGTAGTAATACTAATAATAATGGTAGTAATACTAATAATAAAATTTACAATAATTTTACACTTATTTACAGTTTCATAAATACATGTTTAATTAAATTAAATTGACTTAATAATTTATTATTTATGTAATATGTGTTGCTTTTCACTGTGTAAAACAAATTCACTCTGGGATAATTAGGTATTACGTTATTCACTCTATACTTAAAACCGCCAACACAAAGATACCTGCCACCTTTTGCTGCAGGAATAAACTTAGATTGTAACTGTGCATTAGCCAATAGCCATCGTAAAGAAATGAATACTTATTGAGAAATAATCACAATGAACTGAATTTCGATCACCTGTCAGCTTCATGTTGAACTGTAGCCTATTATTTTATTAATTAATGAGTTGGTTGAATTGACAAAATTCAAGTTCATGTAATTTAAGTGAACTATATTCATTTTATTAATTTGTGAGTGAGTCGACTTCTGATAAAAATCAATTTCAGTGAACTATATCAATAATGACTGGTCCCTGCCTCATTAACGCTTTTAATCCGTTTTAATCCCATCAAAGGGTGCCGCGGTCGACTTTCCAAAACTCGGTAAGTCGGCGATATGGGAAGACCCCAACTCCACACAACCAATTATTTTTAAAGACCACATAAGACAAAAAATCTTAATTGCATGTATTTATAGCCAAAGGTTACTATATCTATTTTACGGCAAGTTCAAACCAATCTGATTAAGATTCATTCAGCTATTGAGGTTTAAGTATCGGAAAGTCAAAAACGGTTTTCAAAGTTTCAATTACAACCTTATTCTGGTTAATTGGCTGGTGACGTCACAGGCACTACACATAGTATATTATACATTATCTGTGCAATATATCACTGTTTGTACAATATATCACTGTATATACACACCACCAGTTGACATGCGTCTATTGGCGGTCCAATTACCACGTGACTGGCCTAATCATAATCACCGAATTATCGTCTTGCGTTGCTATAGATTAGACATTTGTGATGGGAATATTTTTGAGTGAATTTAAAATGCCGTATCATGCCGTAGATCCATTTAAGGTGCCATTGTTTAAATAGACCGCGTGACAAATGAAGACGACCCAAGCAATTAGCGCATTTACCGGTAATTTGCATAACCCGTAATACTTGATATCCCAAACTATTCTCTATAAGTACAGAAATACAAATGGTGCCAGTCAATTGTCGATATATTCATTATTAGCCATATATAATAATAATAACAATTTCTATACACAAAGAACAACTTTTATCGTAACTCCATTTGAAATTCACAGCGAGTATGGAATTTTCCAATGACTATGCATAACAATAAATCGCCCTCGTTTCTCAGCCAATCAACGCCGGGAATCTTATTACCATGTACGGTTCAATGCATACTACGGGCTTAGTAACTGAGGTAAAATTTTGGAGCAAAAATTTGCTTGGGATTCATGGACATGGATATCAAATACAGTTGGCTACTCTGATAACGGATCGTCATTTACAAATCGCTTTTCAATCATGTTTGACTTTTATGATAAATTTTCATGACCACATCTTTTTACTCCTGTACTCTTTTACTCGGTGAAATTAGAAACCACAATACTCTTCTGACGAAAATGTATCTAGAATCGTTTTGACTGTACACGATGGTAGAGGAACTATTACCAAAAAGTCACTTTAAAACACAGTTTTAAAATCGCTGTCGTGAGAAGAGAGGGCGGGACATTATGACACAATGCTAAATTGGATAATAAATTAGAATAAATTACTAAACAAATTATTCCGTAGTCAATTGGTTTTTTTTTAATTATGGGATTCAGGAACCAGTCAGGCGTTAATGAATACACACGCCGGTTGTATATAGGTAATTAAGCAAAAAAACATTTCGAATATGCATTCGGTCGCTGTGACGTCACCGGCGTCTGAGGGGATTAAGTGTGTTTTCGATAATTGGCAAAGTCGTTTTTACGGGAGGTCTCTTTTTACGACTTTGAGTGAAGATAGCCGAATTAATTTTAATTCAGATTGGTGTAAACTTGCCGTACAGTGGATATAGTAGCCATTGGCTATACGTACCGAAAAGTAATGTCGTCCATCTTATGTGCACTTTAACTTTATTTTGGTTAGAAGTTACGCAAAAATGACCTAATCACATTTCATGCGTTACCATGGTTACTATTCCATATTTCAACTATTATTTTAGTACATTTTAGTCCTATATTGTATTTCATGACGCTAAAGTAATAAAAGTTTTCTAGAACTTTGAAGTTTTTTCTTTATTCGAATGGCTTCTATTTTCAGTGTTTTCTCAAACTTCAAATTTGGGGTTAAATCGCATTTGCGAGCTAGCATTGGGAGCCAATACAAGGATTTTAGAATAGGTGTTATGTGAGACGATGTTTGGAGAGTTGGTTGGCCGAATGATTAGCACGTGCGTGCTGTATCATAAGGTCTGTCATTGAGTCAACTGGCGAGGTTTCGATTTCCCGGTTGTACGTGACAAGGTGTAGGATCGCCTGTCCAACCTCGTGGGTTTTCTCCGGGACCTTGGGTTTCCTCCCAATAATACGCACAGGGGAATTATTGAAATAAAATCAAACCATATGTTAGTCTCGAAATGAGCTAGTTTGTGTCGAGTGGACGTTAAACCCCATCTCTCTCTCTCTCTCTCTCTCTCTCTCTCTCTCTCTCTCCGAGATGATATTTTGGTTCTTGATATGATTCTGGCTGCTCTATTCTGTATTCTCTGTATCTTGTAGACTACAATAGTGAAATAGGGTTTAACGCCATATGTACACAGTATGGACGAACAAAGGAGATCCACGCAAAAGGACCCTTGACATAGGGAATTCAATATAAGAGTAGGCCGTAGCGCCAGTGTCCGAGCAAAACTTCCCTCTTGATACACTTCGGAAGACCCAGGTACCATACATCGGAGTCTCCCGGCGTTTGCCGAATGCACAATTTCCCCCATATCACATTGCATGGCGTATGCCCGTCTTCAATAGTCCAGTCGGAGCGAAGAAAAGTCCAGAAAATTACCTCTTCTGTCACCATAATAGCATTTTATATTGTTTGGATTGGGGTTTTAACTAAAACGTGGTATATTTCATTAATTCGGTTGATCGCAGATTCGCAGGAGTCGATACAAGTGGTCCAGGAAATCGGGTTACCCGACGAAATCCCACGAGATTTGACAAGCGAAAGGTCTGGAATAGTGACCATGCCATTTGATTCAAATGATACACCTTATGAATTATAGCACACGCTCTAGACTCCCCCCCCCCCCCGCTTCCGTTTTCAGATTGGCGGTTAAAACCTATTTTATGCCATTAACATGCCCAGTCTTGGTCATCACCAACAGTCATTGATTAACAGTTACTACCATTACGTCATATCCGGATGCCCATTTGTTAATTAAAGGCGAAGCGGTTTAAACCTCAATCTGTGAACGGTTGAAAGTCAAATGGGGGAAATACTGTAACGATAAATGTTCTCCTTTAAGTTTGGGGGGGGGGGGGGGTTGGATGGCTGAATGGTTAGCGTGCGCGCGCTGTATCATAAAGTCTGTCATTGAGTCGACTGGCGTGGTTTCGAATCCCCGGTTGTACGTGACAAGGAGTAGGGTCGCCTGTCCAACCTCGTGGGTTTTCTCCGGGTCCTCCGGTTTCCTCCCACTGCTAAAGACCCCTACGCGCAAGCGAATTATTGAAATAAAATTTAAAAACCGTATGTTGGTCCCGAAATGACCTAGTTTGTGTCGAGTGGACGTTAAACCCCATTTCTCTCTCTCCCCCTTTAAGTTTGTGTAGTTGGATTAGATCACATGGTCTGTTATTCGGTCAAGTGGCGTGGTTTCGATTCCTGGCCTGTACGTGACAAGGAGTAGGGTTAGTTAAAACTGATTTTATTGCATCAACATTTCATTGTACAATACAAAAAGATTAAAGATTCTAGCAACTTATAAACGTCTTCTTCTTAAAGAAGAGCATGGCTGCCTGCCCAACCTCGTGGGTTTTCTCCGGGTAATCAGTTTTTCTCCCACTGCTAAAGACCCTACGCGGAAGCGAATTATTGAAAAAAAATTGAACCATATGTTAGTCCCGAAATGAAGTTGTTTGTGTCGAGTGGACGTTAAACCTCATTTCTCTCTGAGACAATCATCCGATAACCCCATATTTGAATTGGCTTTATATATATCATTTGTATTTTGCAGGCAGCTTCTGGGGTAGAAGAAATCGGCATCACCTTCCACAGAATTAACAGCTGAAGCTGAACACGACATCAATGACATCGCAATACTCCGATATTGTTGTCTCCCCTGTGGACGTTACATGGAATGTATATCGATGACGTTGATCTAAACGTACACGTCATCTGGAGTGAACGACATCTGTCGTTGATGGCAAAATGGCTTTTAGAATTTGGATCAGAAAGAAAATAACATCTAAAAAATGTCTGGGTGTTCTAATCTTACTGTATGTTATCGCAAGTTCACTTTTATTTACCAACTTCAATAAAAATATAAGCAAAGCCCTGGAAAGACAAGACTATGTGAAACTGCACCAACTTCCTGCTAAATACGGTGTCGGCTACGTGTCTCCAGCCATTATTGACGTTTTGACAGGTGCATTCCAACCCTGTTCCAGTGAAAACAGCCAGTTTCATGGACAGAAAAATTATGTCTGTAAATGGTTGGATGATCGTTACTCTGATTCAACCGGAAATTACGTAATGTATGCTCGCGAGTTTGCTCTACTAAATGACGTCATAGTTGATCCTGGTCAGGCGACGGGTCGAGTAGGCGGTGAAAATATAACTTCGGTATTGAATCAAGAAGAATCAGTGGAATATCTAAAACTCAATAAATCTTATTTTCAATTAAACTGCGAAAAGTTACAGCACCCGCCATTTAATGGTAAAAATCATTTAAACGATTGGCTTGGTTCTGTCACGTGTGTTTCTAGGGACAATTTAAAACATGGCAGACAAGTATCTGGATTAACTATAGCGGTACAGAGATATGAATATGTCAACTTTTATCATACCATGACCGATTATTTTAACGCCTTTTTAATTATGATTTTATTTCAAAAATCACCCAAGGACATTAATATACTGTACATAGACGCACATCCGGCCGGAAGTCTCGATGCAACATGGGACCATTTATTCAATAAAACATACCGTGCCGGTAGCTTAGCTACCACAACAAAGTTTTCCAAAATGGCGTGGAATATACAATCTTATAACAGTCCTTTAAACAACCATGGTTTACCTTATGTGCCTTATTTGGAAGAATTTAGAAAGTTTTTTCTGTCGCGACATAAAGCAGATAAATTGAAAATTCTGGATTGTAAAAACCTATCCGTGTTATTCATATGGAGACGTGATTACGTCGCTCATCCGCGGAATCCATCTGGAGTTGTCTCTCGCAAGATAAAAAACGAGGATGAACTATTAACAAGTATTAAAGATGTACTTCCGGGTCATGATATAAAGGCCTTACAGCTGGATAAATTAAAAATGGATAAACAATTAGAATTAATATCCGGTACTGATATACTAATAGGTATGCATGGTGCCGGGCTAACACATACCTTATTTTTACCCAAACATGGCGGCCTTATAGAACTCTATCCTACATATTGGCCACAAGCCAATAAACACTTCCTAACCATGGCAAGATGGCGTAATCTGCATTACCTTGCGTGGAAAAATCATGATCCAGAGAATGAACATGCCAATAAAATGACGTATATTCCCCCTCGTACCTTAGTAAAGATGGTAAAGGAAATGGTGAAAAAAATCTGTAATAAATAAAATAAATTAGGCATTATCACTTTCATTCAAAAAATAAATTTAATAAAATTTACTATCATTTAGTGACCTTGCAGCTAAGTATTTTGTGTGGGCGTGTGCGCATCTTGAAAACAACTGACAGTTGTCTGGAATTACGCATGCGCTAGAATTCAAACAGCGAGAAATGTTGTACACAGTCAACGCCCGGGCACACCTTGATGCAAATAAAATTCCGTGTTATTTGCAATTAAAAATAGACAACGCATGACATGATTTCGAATGAGTTAAAAGCCTACGTGGTAATGGTGCAATATTCGTCCATATTTGTTTGTCTATTATTGTTGAGCTAAAGGGATTTTAACTGGGTTTTTTTTTATGTCGGCACATTAATATAAGCATCATCAACTACAGTGTGTGGGTTTATCTTTAATACAAAGAACATCAACCACAGTGTGTGTGTTCGCCTTTAATGCAAACAACACCCCCCACAGTGTATGTGTTCGCCTTTAATACAAGTAACACCAACTTGTGTGTGTGTGCTCGCCTTTAATGTCCCTTTAATTATCTTTTAAGTGTCATTATACATTTCAATTATTTTTAAAGTGTCGTTATACATTCCAATTATTTTTAAAGTGCCACCAACTACAGGGTGTGTGCGGGTGTGTGATGGTGGGTGTGTGGATGTGGGTGTGTGAGTGTGTGTGTGTGTGTGTTCGCCTTTAATGTCTCTTTAAATATTTCTAAAGTGTTGTTATTACATTCCAATTATTTTTAACGTGTCGTTATACATTCCAGTTATTTTTAAAGTGCCACCAACTACAGGGTGTGTGCGGGTGTGTGATGGTGGGTGTGTGGGTGTGTGTGTGTGTGTGTGTGTTCGTCTATAATATCTCTTTAATTATTTTTAAAGTGCCTTTATACATCCCAAGTAACCTACTCCTTTATGAGTTTATCTTCCACTCTACATTATGCTATTCCGAGACTAACATATGATTCATTTTTTATTTCAATATTGCATTTGAACACATGGGTATTTTACAAATGCAAGTAGACCAGAGAACCAAATTGTTTAACGAGTACACTTTGGATCACAATGTCTTTCATTCAGGGCTGGTTTAGACCACATGGTCTGTCATTCAGGGCCGGTTTGGATCACAGGGTCTGTCATTCAGGACCGGTTTGGATCACAAGGTCTGCCATTCAGGACGGGGGGGGGGGGGGGTGGATGGCTGAATGGCTGAATGGTTAGCGTGCGCGCGCTGTATCATAAAGTCTGTCATTGAGTCGACTGGCGTGGTTTCGAATCCCCGATTGTACGTGACAAGGAGTAGGGTCGCCTTCCAACCTCGTGGGTTTTCTCTGGGTCCTCCGGTTTCCTCCCACTGCTAAAAGACCCCTACGCGCAAGCGAATTATTGAAATAAAATTAAACCATATGTTAGTCCCGAAATGACCTAGTTTGTGCCAAGTGGACGTTAAACCCCATCTCTCTCTCTCTCTCTCTCTCTCTCTCTCTCTCTCTCTCTCTCGTTGTATAATATATTATGTATGAAATCATGAATTTTGGGTGGGGATCTGATTGTTTTTTAAAATATTATTTAATATTTTTTAATGTTTAATTTTGTTAAAATCTTTAATGATTGTTTTATTAAACCGTGAAAAAAAAACATATTTCCAGAAACTTGACGTCTCTAAATGATTGTAAACTTGATGTAAAATTGCGGAAATTTCTTCATCCTATTTGCATCGTATTCTTCGCAAAAAAATATTCTGGAAAAGTAGTTGATTGACACCCCTCGCACTCACCCGGCAAACCTCAGCAGATTCCAATACCCTACATCTAGCCTCGGCTGTATGACGGTAAGTGATATGTACCTACGCCTATGCAATTGCGATCCGGCACCGGTTTACTTATTAGGAAAACTTGCCGCTGTTAAAAAGAAGTTATCAAAATTGCGTCGTTTGAAGCGTGTGTAGAATTTCAGTGCAAATTAAGTTGTCATTGTTTGAAGAAAATCGGATAAACATGAAAGAAAAACAGCTTCAGACTTTGAAATATTTGCATGATAAAACATTCTTCAAAGGTGTCGTCATGGGCAACGCCGTTAGTAATCCGGGAACTTGAAGTAGTTCCAATGGCGGACTTCGTCATACAGCCGAGGCTAGATGTAGAGTAACGGAATCTGCCGAGGTTTACCGACTGCCCTCGCACTGAGCGTCCAGATATATACCCCATTCACACTTACCCAAATTAATGTCGTAGCATTAATGGTTAAGCGGGCCAGACTGCGCACGCTCGCCATCCTTCCTTTTCTACCCCCAAACTTTCTCCTCTCCTTTCGATGAGATTTTTACCTTGGGTATTCCCTTGCAAAGACACTATGTCTCAAATTAAACTGGACCAAGCCTAATCCCTATGGCTTCCTACAGTAAGTTTCTTAGGAAACATTTTGTCTACGATATCACCTTAGATGGAAGTGGACGTAAAACTCTAGAAACGAACGAACGAACGATCCCATTCACAGCTGATGTGTCGCACGACAACTACTCGTCTGATCGAAAGCTGTCGTGTTCTACAAGGGCAGTTATCCCATTCACAGCTGATGTGTCGCACGGCCATATTTTCAAACTCGGTGATTAATTGGTCCTTCTCTTCGTTCGTGCACCCTGAGTTGATTTCAGCAACTGATATCATTTGAAATTTAAAATATTTTGCAAATATGAATAAATTCTAGTGCTTATGAAAAAGTCCCCCCTTGAAATTTAGAGGATCATTATTACTCTGTAGGCACCCCTTTTGTGGTGGTGGTGGGGGGGGGGGGTCATGGCCGAATGTTCGATTCCCCGGTTGTACTTGACAATTGGTATGGTCGCCTGCCTAACCTCGTGGGGGTTTTCCGGGCCCTTCGGTTTTCTTCCACTGCTAATGACCCCTACGCGCAAGCTAATTATTGAAATAAAATTGAACCATAAATGACCTAGTTTGTGTCGAGTGGATGTTAAACCCCATTGCTCTCTCTCTCTCTCTCTCTCTCTCTCTCTCTCTCCCTCTCGTTTCGTTTTTTATGCTTCAAAATTTCATTTTCTTTGTCTGTACTAAACTAGGATCTGGAATAGTTGTTATATAACAGGCGTTCTGGATGGCGTGGGGGATTAGCCTATGAAACCATCTGTTACGGCGACTTCTTGGCGTGCCATGCACGGAACTGTGGGTATTCAATGTCTGACGTTATAGGTCAAAAGCCGCTCGTACGACCCTGACACGACCTTCCAGTACAACTGGTCAGATATTCATATAGTGTAGGCCATCGAAAGTATAAAGAAAAACGAAACGAAATATAGATCTGTAGTTTAATCAGATTGGAACTCGAAACTTATTTTGTCCGTTTGAACATATTTCTAGAGAAACAAGACACCCTTTATATCGGGTGCAGATTTTCGGGCTCTGCTGCTAAAATGGAAGATCATGGTGACTATAGTCTCGATGATTGAGTAAAATTAAATGATCGTTTGTATCCGGTCGTACTAGTCGCAGACAGAGAAGAGAGGTTTTGGCCTATATTCTGTAAACAAGAATATTTGTGTTATAGTCGAAGCGAGACCACAGGCTTTGTGTATGGTGAACACCGACAATCGAGTACACACACACTCACACCCGAGGACATTACAAGTGTATATCAATAATATAAATTGGATGGGTTCAACATTCTATATCCAAGAACAGGCCCCCTTTTGACCACAGGAGTAGGTCACTGAAAGAATATTTGTATTATTGATTCAGCCACTTAAATTTCTAATTTTCGCAATCAATATAAGTGAGGTCTTACAGTCTGTATCTGAACAATCGATGACTCGCACACGATCGAATACATGGGAAAAATTATTTCTGGAAATCCATATCTCCAACAAGTGATCCCAAAATTTACATTCTGGCAGCAATATACCGGTAATTTGTCATCAGCATCATCATTAACATTATCATCGTCATTATCCGTTTGCAATGAGCTGAAAACGATTGGGAAGGTAGAAGAAAAATTACCGCCCTGTATCTAATCTAACATTTCTCTCAAAGATTGTAGAGAAATAAAATCGTTTAAGATATTAACTTCAGTTTTTAAACTACTAACATTTTCAAATTTCAACTTGAATTTAATCTTTTAAGATCTTAGCCTAAACATTTAAGATATGCACGATACAGTCTCACGAAAGTATTTATAGGGTAGTTATTTCCAATAACAGTATGGCAAATTTGGTATACATGTATATGGAAAGTGGAGACACCCAGTCTTACTAGAAAAATACTGGATTGGGCAAGGATGTCAGGGTATTACTTGCTGTCAGCCCGACGGCGTATTGTCTGCTAGATTGACTTGGGAAGTGGATGTCAGGGTATTTCTTGGACGGTGTATTTTCTGGTAGATTGACTTGGGAAGTGGTTTATATTTCTTAATCGAATAGTTATGTGGTTTTGGGAACATTGAGGGGTTTAAACGTACAACAGATCCTGCAATCAAACGGCGGGAAAATAATTTGGCAGAGGATAATCATTTATTTAGGCTCCAATATATACGGTAAATGGACAGTAAGTATCAACAAATACATTCTGAAATGGACCCTCCCTCAATCAAGTAACATGACAAACATGGCTTCTAGAAATAGATTTTAACGTCTTGGGGCTCTTCCTCCCGAATACAATATTTTGAGAGGGATTTGAGGCAAATTTTTGATAGATTTATTAGTTTGAATATGTTTTTAGCCCAAATATATCATCACATCATACAGTTTGTACATTGGAAGGCATCTCTAACTTAAACATTTCAGATTTTAACTTAATTTTTAAGTTATAAACTTAAACTTTTAAAAACTTAAAATATCTAAGATATTAACTTATTTGACTAGTGGAAAATACAGGTGTCTTTTAAACACAACCAAACAAAACCAGGGATGAAGACCGTTGTTAAAGAGGAGATTGTGTCAAGTACATCGAACGGGGGCACCCTAGATCTTGGACCCCTGGCTTCAGTCTGTCAAGTATATAATTAATCTGATCAAAATACAGATCTATATTTCGTTTCGTTTTTTTTATACTTTCGATGGCCTACACTACCACTCGGCAAATCTCGACAGATTCCGTTTCCCTACATCTAATCTCGGCTGTATGACAGTAAGTGATATGTACCTACGCCCATACATTTGCGATGCGGCTGCCGGTTTACTTTAAACAGGAAAACGTGCCGCTTTTACAAAAAAAAGTCCCAAATTGCCTCTTTTGTAGAGTGTATATACCTAAATGAGCAGAGATATTGTCTCAAGGCTGCTGGTTTGATAAAATTCCCTGGTAATTCCCCAAACCCAATGCAAAACGTGACGTTTGTTGATATAATACACTCTCCACAGAAATCTCCATGGGGGCAGCCATTTTTCATTCGGAACCTTTAAAATAGTTCAAATATGGCGGAAATGGTCAAACAGCCGAGATTAGATGCGTAGAATCTGTCGAGGTTTGCCGAATGCTACACTACATGACAAGTAAACCGAAATTTTGAACTATAAAAACGAAACGAAATAGGATCTGTGTTTTAATCTGATTGGTATATATAGGCATCTTCAATGGAAGGGTTGGTCTCGCTTTAACCCTGTACAACTCATTTCAGCGACAAGAAAATCATTGTTAAAACTTTGCCTGTATCAGTAACTGTATTCAATCAAGTTTTGTGTTTACTTTAATTTGACCAATTACAAAAATGGCACTTACAGCAATTTACTAAAAGCTTCTGGTGTGAAAATAACCGTATTTAATATAATAGATGATTTTAAGCTAATTGGTAATAATCGTATTTAATATAATAGATATATCATTTTAAGCTAATTGGTGATGAAGTTGAATATATGTAGTCAATATTATACTTGAGATAATGGATTCCTATAAACGTAGATATTATCCGGGTACTTAAGGTACATTTTACGGTAACCATGGTAAATTATCACCTGATGGTAATTAACTAATAAGTTTTTTATTATATAGGATGAATGTTGCTATGGTGATAGACTTGTATATAACCATTTTCCTGAAGCAACGACTGTGACTTTTACAACAATAGCCGTTGCTAGATTAGTCTGAAATTCACAAACTTTTAGGTACGTTATCTCCCTTTACCACAGACACGTGATACAAACACATAAAGGAATGGATTCTTTTCGGCCGTTGAAAACTTTTTCTGGATGAAAAACTCGCGAAATACCAAAGAAAAGCAACCTACTAGCATAATGGAAGAGGAACAGTCTTTTATTGTTGAGAGAGAGAGAGAGAGAGAGAGAGAGAGAGAGAGAGAAATGGGGTTTAACGCCTACTCGACACAAACTAGGTCATTTCGGGACTAACACATTGTTCAATTTTATTTCACTAATTCTCTTGTATCAGGATAAAAGCTGTTATTTCGATGGGGGTCATTTGAGATATAATTTCCCCCAGGCAGCGGTGTTTTATCCTAATCATAAATGTCGAGTGCTATTTTACGTACAGGCCAAAATTAATAAGGACCTCGATTTTTCGTCCCATATTAATGTAATATGAATGTATATTTACGTTCAATTTGTAAAATTTCATTATAATTTCTAATGTTCGGGGAAATATGCGAGCAGTCCAACTTGAACGGCAATAGTTGTGCCTGTATAGATTGTTCTACGCTCTTTTTTTTTATTT